ATCTAAAATACAACAAATCAATTTGGCTCAATCAATTTAAACGGATCAGTATATCTGCCAAAGATATCAAACATGAGATCCGCTACTGAAGAGATTATTCTGCTTACATTATTCTACTTGTATTTTAAGTTGCTGCTGAATTATTGATTTGTTTTGACATATTCCACTTTCCTTATTTTCTCTGTTTGGCTGTCGACAAAGTGGAAGAAAATAATAAAAACAAGAAAAAAATAAAATAAAATAAAAAATTCATTAGTCATGAGTCATGACTAACCATTTCTTGTTTCTCAGGGTGCCGGGGTTGGACACGTTCAACGGAATGTCCATTAATTTTGTATACGTACAATTATTACTTGACATATCCAACTTTCTTATTTTCTCTGTTTAGTTGCTGAGAAAACGGAGTAAAATAATAGAAATAAAAAGAAAGGTCATTAGTCATGACTCAGACTTTGAATCAATATACCCGTTTTTAGGTTGTGTTTGGTTTGATTTAGAAAAATATTTAAAAAGAAAAAAAACATAAAATGTAAATAAAATATATTTATATTTTATTTAATTTTATACACATATTTTCTTTTATTTTTCAAATTTCGTTTCAAATCTTCTAACTAAACACAACATTAATCAATATATATATATATATATATATATATATATGTATACTGACTCATGAGATAAGATGGCTACTATATTACTTAATTAATTATTGTAATTTTAAGCTAAAATTGCGTATTAAAATTGAGAATTTTTCTGACTTCTTGTAGCCTGTCAAATCTGACATACTTTTCTGACTTCTTGTAGCCTGTCAAATCTGACATACTTACTATCCGAGAAATTAGATATTTATTTGGAAAATATAGAGGTCCAAAATTTCTACTAATATTGTGTTTAGTTAGAAGATTTGAGGAGAGAATTAAAAATAAAAATAAAAAAATAGATGAAATGTGAATAAAATATATCTACATTTCACATAATTTTATACATTTTTTTCTTTTCTCTTTCTAAATCTTTTCCCAAATCTCCCAACTAAATACCGCATATATATTTTACCAAATGTCTCATACATGAGGTGGGTCTCACATAAACATTTGGTAGAAATTTTGGTATTCTTAGCATTACTCTATTTATTTATTGGGAGAATTCAAAAATGCTAAAGATATCAGAAGTTCTATCAAAATTTATATCAAATGTCTCACATAGTTGTGAGATCCCATGAGACGTACATAGTGTGGGTCCCAAACTCATATAAAATATTTGATAGAAATTTTAATAAAACTTTGGAGACCTCTAGGATCATTCGGGAGAATTTATTAAGAAATCCTCGTCCAATTATTTCTATTTCAATTAATCTATAATATATTCTTACATTTTAATAAGTCTTATAATTTAAACATTGATCCATTAAATTCTAATTTTCTTATTTAAGATATTTTATGAATAATTTTATCTGAAAAAATATTTTTTGAACCTTTAGCAATTTGGTGATATGCATATTCATATTTAACAGTGTGAATGTTCACACCACAGAATAGTTACATTGTCAATGTGAATATTAATGCACACTTTATTCTATTATTATTAGGAATATTTTGATAATTATGTCATCCATACAATTTATTGTAATATAAGAAAATAATTTAGATTAAGTGAAATATAAATAGGTGAGAATGAATTTATGAATAAATGCCTCTTATTTATTTATTGCACAAAATAATGTTTTCTCATTTTTAAGAAACTTAATCATATTTTAAAATAAAGGATAAATGATATTTGTGACCAAAGTGAGAAATTTAATTTAACTTTTAAAGTTCTTTACACTTTAAGTATGATGGGAGTTTATAATTGGGCTAAAGTGAAACATAAAATAGAGTAAGAGTTAAAGTGAGAATAATTTCTTTAAGAGTAAGTTTATGCGCACAGAAATTAAATATAGAATGAGATACAATTCTCTATTTCTAGTATTACATGTAGGATCCATCTCTTGTGAGAGAATTGTGTCCCATTTTGTGTTTTGTTTCTCTATTTCTAGTATTACTATTTCTTTAAAGAACACACAAAGAGATGACTCAAAGTGAAAGATTTTTTTCCTTGATTCAATTAGTATTAGTGTAATTTTTTTTCTTAAAACTGGAACATTATGAAAAACCAACTGACAACCAAAATTTTGGTCCATTTCAAGAGGTCAGGTTCATCAAATTTTCTTACAACCCTACTTCTTAACCATTGGATAATTCTCATATTTGTATATTTGTCACAATTAGGTTAAACATTTTTACTTGAGCAAAACTACCATGGCGACAAAGTTATGTCTATATAGAATCACATAAATATTAAAAGTTTACCTATTGATGTGATCCATCAAAAGTAGAGTCCAATTTTGTTCACGTGCGTGAATAAAACACTTTTGATTGATTTAAAATAGCAGAGCCCACAATTTTAAACAAAATTAATATATTTTTTAGAGCTCATTATTTGAGATCAATCACAAATTATGTTTTATACAAAATTATTTTCATTAAAAAAATTTGATTGCCTGGTATTCCTTAGAGATGAGTATCGTTTTGAAGTATACGTTTTCACTAATTTATATTTTTTTGTATTTTAATTTTATGTATGTAAACTTATTTCACAAGCATTTTATGTGGGTGTTTGGTGTAGTTTAATTGAGGCCTATTTTGACAATATATTAAAATAGTCAAAAAAAATTTAAAAAATTACTAAAAAAAATCAATTCTTCTTTTTTTTTTTTTTTTTTAGTAGATGTTTCCTTAAAACATCAAAAATTAATTAAAATAACTAATTTCCAAACAAACCGTAAATAAGGTTGGTTGTGAAAAAATGAGGTGATGCCAAAGTTCGTAATCCAAAACGATGTCGGACCACAAGGTCCATGTTTGACTAAGCCCAGCAATTATGTACAGGAAGGAAAACAAGACTAAGCCAAGGTAAATACAACTGACCTTTAATTTGTAAAAGTTAAAAATCTCAACAATGGTGGGCCTTGACCCAGACATGTTTTAATATTTTAACATAACACATTCTAATCACATTTTGAGGAGGGAGTCCCTATCTTAGGTCTATTTTTGTAAATTTTAAATTAGTATTTTTTAATAGGTAAGAAGGGAATAGGAGAAGAAAAAGTCAAGTAAGACTTGAATTCAAACGTTATGTTTACTGTGTGTGTCAAATTTCTGACCACACTGCTAATCAAACACTCAGCTGGAGAACACTGGCAGAATAGATTAAGTCCGAACGACTTGTCACAAAAAGAAAGATTCCGGCGGTGGTTCGTCCACCCGGGGGCACTCCGACGATCAAGTCAGTTATCTCTCAAAGATAGCAAAAGTGCTTAACTCACTATTCAGAGCACAAAAAGCATACATTAGATCCATGAGGGTGCCTCTCTTTTATAGCCAATACTTATCTAATCCCAATAGAAGTCTAGCTTCAATGGACTTAGGATTACTGTTAATTTTGAACTCTCAGTAGGATTGTGATAAATTCTCTAAGAGTCTTATCTTTATCCAAACTGAAGTCTTCTTCCATTCTAGGACTCTTGTCCCTTTTCTGCTTATCCCGGATTCCAGTTTCTTCGCAGATAACCTCAGCATAGTCGAGATCATCTCGGAGTCATGACCAGGACACGTGGCACCTCGGCTGGCACTTCGGTGACACCTCGGCCACGTGTTGTCATTAAAAAATTATGTCCCCACAACTGCCCCCTAAGTTCTATTACCTCGGCATCCTGAGATGATGGAACCTATATCATTCATTCCTTTAATCATGACCACGGTTTAATTTCAGCTTGTAAATTTTTCTTAAAATTTCAACAAGTGTTAAACATGACCTCGGTTTAATTTCAACTTGTAAATTTTTCTTAAAATTTCAATAAGTGTTAAACATGTCTTTGGTTTAATCTCAACTTGTAAATTTTTAAAATTTCAACAAGCGTTAAACATGACCTCGGTTTAATTTTAATTTGTAAATTTTTCTTAAAATTTCAAGAAGTGTTAAACCAATCTTAGCTTGTAAATTCCAACTCCCAAGCATCATTCTCTAGCCCTCTTTGATTCTCCATGCCTGACCTCCCGTGAAGGCCAGTGAGAATGCCCCTTTGCCCTGTCGTGTTGAGGGACTGCAGGAACTGTGTTCTGTCCCCCCTTTCTAGGCATCTTTCTTAGCCGCTGGAATCGGCGTATCTTATAAAGGGAACGGTGATTGCATGACGTTATTCTGCATCATGAAATTGACGACCGTTTGCAGGTCCGCCAATTGACGTTATTCGCCATTCCCTTCATCTCATCGTCCCTCCGCAGGCATCTATTCCTTCCATACCTGGAGGTCGTCCTCGTTATAATACCCGCTTCGGTCTGATTTCTTTGGCACGTCGCCTTCTTGGCCGACGTCCTTTTCTCCGTGATTCTTATCACGAGTCTCTTCGTTGCAGTTGTTTTCTTCAACGTCAAGGTCAATGTGTTTCCCACTCTCAGTAGGGGTGTCGTTCCCAACCTTCTCTTTCTGTTCGTCTTTGGCCATCTATTCTCCTTTCTTTCCTATAGACAGCCCCAAATTGTGTGTGCCAATTTCTGACCACATTGCCAATCAAGCACTCAGCTGGAGAACACCGGCAGAATAGATTAAGCCCGAACGACCTGTCACAAAAAGAAGAGATTCCGGCGGTGGTTCGTCTACTCGGGGGCACTCCGATGATCAAGTCATTTATCTCTCAAAGCTAGCAAAAGTGTTTAACTCACTATTCAGAGCATAAAAAGCATACCTTAGACCCATGAGGGTGCCTCTCTTTTATAGTCAACACTTCCTTTGAGTGTGTTATCTTAAATGTCTATGCCCCAAATGATATTATAAGGAGAGGTAAGTTATGGGAGTCCTTGTTGTATTTAAAGTCCATTTTCCCCAAACCATGGTGTCTAGGTGGTGATTTCAATGAGATCAGAAATTTGGGGGAAAGAATAGGAAGCTCAAGGAGGGACAGGGGCATGAAAGAGTTTAATGAGTTCATAGATAGATGCGAGGTGACTGATCTGCCCATGGTAGGGAGAAAATTTACTTGGTGTAATGCTCATGATGGCCACAAATGGAGTAGAATTGATAGATTCCTTCTTCGCCCTGAGTGGATTGAAAGATATAGATATAAACTGTGGGGACTACCTAGGTTGGTATCAGATCATTGCCCGATTGTGCTTATGGAAGATGAGAGGGACTGGGGTCCTAAACCTTTCAAATTCTTAAATGCCTGGTTATTGCACCCACAATTCACATCTTTTGTGGAGAATACATGGAAGGAGTTACAGATTCAAGGGTCTGCTGGGGTCACTCTGCTAAGGAAATTACAAGCTTTAAAGATGGTACTAAAACAATGGAATAAAGAAGTATATGGTAATACTGCAGCTCAACTAAAAGCATCAGAAGATAAACTGAATGCACTTGATTTGAGGGCTGAGGTAAGACCTCTGGAGGATGCTGAAATCAAACAAAAAAGTGAGGCAAGGAATGAGATGTGGAGATTAAGTAGAATGCTGGAATGGGAATGGCTTCAAAAGTCAAGGCTCGACTGGAATATGAAAGGGGATAGGAACACAAGATATTTTCATGTCATGGCTACTAGTAGACAAAATAGAAATGCCCTCAACTCCATTGTTGTAGGGGATGTGGCAATTGAGGAACCAATTCAGGTCAAAATGGAGGTATGGCCACATTTTACAAACCAGTTTTCAGAAGAGTGGAGAGTTAGACCTGTAATAGGTGGGGAGTTTAAAAGTGTAAGGCAAAGTGATTCATTTCAAATACTAGAGTCAGAATTTTCAGCAGTGGAGGTTTGGGAAGCCGTCAAGGACTGTAATGGCAACAAAGCTCCGGGGCCAGATGGTTTCAACTTGCTATTTTTTCAGAAATTCTGGAAGGTGCTCAAAGAAGATGTGATGCTCTTTTTTGCAGATTTTCATGTCAGGGGCAGATTGGCTAATGGCTTTAACAGTTCTTTCATCACCCTTATACCTAAGAAAATTGATGCAGCCAACTTAAGTGAGTATAGACCCATTAGTCTTATAGGGTCAGTGTATAAAATACTTTCCAAGGTTCTTGCTAGTAGACTAAAAAAAGTCATGGCAGATGTAATTGGTGAAACACAATCAGCATTCCTTGGAGGTAGAAACATACTCGATGGGGCTTTGATTGCAAATGAAATAGTGGATGGGTGGAAAAAAACCAAGAGAAAAGGGCTAATTTTCAAGATTGATTTCGAGAAGGCTTATGATTCACTCAATTGGGAATTCCTATTCTCAATGCTATCTAGCTTTGGCTTCGGAGCGAAGTGGATCTTTTGGATAAAAAGTTGTCTCTCTTCAGCTAGAATCTCCATCCTCGTTAATGGCTCACCAACTAAGGAGTTTAGTCCTGAAAAAGGTCTCAGACAAGGGGACCCACTATCCCCCTTCCTTTTCAACTTGGCTGCAGAAGGACTGAACATGTTACTGATGAGAGCTAGGGAGTTGGGGCTGCTAAAAGGAGTAGTTTTTGGTGACAATAATGTGGTTGTGTCACATCTTCAATTTGCAGATGATTCTTTGTTGTTTTGTGATGCTGTATGGTCAGAAGTGCTTAATTTAAAAAGGATCCTTAGGTGCTGGAAGCCTGTCTTGGATAGGATAAAGCACAGGCTTGCTGGTTGGAAGAGGAGACTTCTCTCCTTTGCGGGAAGATTAACACTAATTAAATCAGTGTTATCTAGTCTGCCGGTGTACTACCTCTCTCTGTTCAAAATTCCAGAAGGGATAGCAAAAGAAATTGAAAAGTTACAAGCTTCATTCCTGTGGGGTGGAGTTGAACTTAAGAGAAAAGTTCATCTAGTGAGATGGGATGAGGTAACTAAAAGTACTAAGCATGGGGGATTGGGTGTTAGAAGAATCAGAGACATGAATGTTTGTTTATTAATGAAGTGGTGGTGGAGGTATGCCAATGAGGAACAAGCTCTGTGGAAGCAGGTGTTAGTCTGCAAATACAAAGCTGAAGGTGGAAATTGGCGTCCAGATATTCATTCAGGAGTTAGAGTATCCAAGATTTGGGGTGATATATTGGTGCCAGCAAATCAAACAGTCAGCCTTCTGCAATTTTATATTAATAACCTTCATATTAGAGTGGGTAATGGTTGTAGAGTGTCCTTATGGCATGATTGCTGGACTGGTGGAGCTAGCCTCAAAGAAGCCACTCTGCTAAGGAAATTATGGCATGATTGCTGGACTGGTGGAGCTAGCCTCAAAGAATCTTTCCCTAGATTGTTCAGGTTGTCAAATGAGAAGGATGGGACTCTCAGGGATTATGCTGATAAAAGGGGTAACTCTGAAAATTGGGTGATTAGCTTTAGAAGGGCCTTATTTCAATGGGAACAAGAAGAGCTCCTCAATCTGAACCTCTATACCAGACCTAGCCCTGTCTTGAATCTGCTTGTGAAAGACAGAGTTTTGTGGTTAGCTTCCAAATCTGGGCAGTCTTTTGTCTCAACCTTATACAAGCATACTGATTTTGAGCATGGTGAAGTCAATAACTCTAGCCGTTTAGTGTGGATCAAGTACTTTCCACCTAAAGTTCAATTTTTTGGATGGCTCGCATGGAAGCATAAGGTAAAAACTTCAGTGTTCTTGCACAGAATTGGTGTGCTGGAGGATAGTGCTGCCACTGTCTGTATTTTCTGCAAAGCTGAACAAGAAACAGTTGAACATGTGCTGATCTGGTGCCCTTCGATCTGGAGAGTTTGGACTGGTCTCCTGCAATGGTGGGGAGCCCTTTGGGTAGTGCCTCAAACTGTTGATGGCTTACTGCAGTGGTGGGCTGGAAGCAAGGTCATGAAAGCTGAAAAAATAATTTGGAATGCTATCCCCTTGGTGGCTCTCTGGTCCATTTGGAAGCACAGGAACGAGTGCATCTTCCAAGATACTCAACCTAACATGGAAGAACTTCTTGAAGTTATCATTATTAGGCTTGCAATTTGGTTAAAATCCACGTCCTCGGATCTTCCATTTTCTGTAACTGATTTTCTTCATAATCTGGAGCAAATCAGATTTTGTTTGGGTAGGAGAATGTAAGGCTGTATTATCTAAAGGGTCTGTTCTGTTCTATTATGATGGCTGCTGCTGGTGGCCTGCAATGGTATGGCTTGGTCTGCTGCTGCTTTGCTCAAGGGTCTGTTCTGTTCTATTATGGTTTGGCCTGGTTTTCTTCTCTGCTGTCTGTTTTTGTCTATTTTGTATGCTGGTGCTTACTGCTGTGAAAGTCCCATCTTGGGTAAGTTTGGGTGTGGTCCTGCAGGTGGATGGTTAAGTTTGGCTGTTATGTCCTGCAGTAGGCTTTCTTATGCCAACTCAAGGGCTGTGATGGTCTGAATTGGTGTGTGAGTCCTAGGAGTGTTTCAGGTAGAACAAAATTCTGCTGGTTGCTTAAGGACCTCTGTTAATAGTGGTGATAATAGAGAGAGGTTCGAGAGTGCTATGCTGGGATTGGGTGCTTGCAAGGTCCTTTTGTATTTTGGTCGTTTCTCGTTGGTCTCTCACCAACTCTAGGGGTGCTAGCAAATGATAGGATGAGCTAGATGGTGCCAACCTCGTTGGGATGATCTAGCCCATTGTGATGCCTTTGCACCTCCCTCTTGTCTTTATTGATGTAATTCGCTTTGTACTTTGTACTGATTTTTTCCATCAATAAAGTCTTCTTCTTGCTGTTTCAAAAAAAAAAAGGGTGGGTACACAACTAATCACTCACTTTAGTTTGATTTTCAAAATTTATTTTTTTACAAAAATAGAAACACAATCGAAAATTATTTGTTTTTTTTTTTTTAAAAAAATATTTTTTCCCAAACTAGTTTTTAGTATTTTTATTTAAAAAATAATAATTTAAAAATGAAACCAGAATGAGAACAATAATTTACAAAATTGACCCATATGGTCATATTATATAAGTGATATATATAGTAGGGTTAAAAAAAATCTCCTTGGTTAATCTTATTTTATTTTATTGGTCCCACAGTATTTGTTCTAATTTGAGCCCTTTGTTAACTGCGTCGTCATCTTTTAACTCCATTTCGTTTACGATGTGTAATGTACGTACCAAAACCATGCATGCGTCATTCTAAATAATAACAAAAAATTCTTGCATGGGATGTAAATTGATTAGGGAAAAAAATTAGGAGTCCAAAACGTCACTATAAAATGTGTTAAAAATAAAACTGTGTGGATGAAATACCCTCGAATTATTTTTTTATAATTTAGTATCCGACTCATTGAACCAACAATATATAAATTTTGAATTTTGATTATATGTTACAATTTTATAAAATGATATGGAACTTTTCATTGCTCCTATGAAATAGAGATGATCAAAATTACAAAGCACAAGTTACAATCTTTCCAACACCACAACAATTGAAAAAAAATAAAATTTAATGGGTTATAAATTACAACATTTACATGGGTTTACAACCAAACTTGTGATGGTTGTCTCAACTCATCGAAAAAGAAGAAGAAGAAGAAAAAAAACCCTCTAGACATGAGAAAAAGTTACAATGATTTTATCTTTTCTAAGTTGATATTGAGATCAAAACATCAAAACTTCCTTGTATCCGTCGGTTAGCAACGATTTTTTTATCTCTTGTGTAACAAGTGCTATTTATCCCTCTCACATAAATGTGAACCACACATATATGTGAAAGAAGGGTATATTACAATAGTGTACTCGTTATACAAAATATCACCTCGTTGGCAACACCAAGAAAGGTTGGCGGGGTACGAACAATCCCACCAGCAAAATTCATCAAAACATCATGTACATGTACCAGTGCCTTGACCGGGGATGTAAGTGCAGGGATTAGCTCCAGATGATGGCACAGTTCCTCTAAGGATGGACCGGAGCAGAACCGAAACTTGGCTCTCTACCCATTTTCCTTCATTGAGAGGTCTCATGGCATTTGCAAGTGGTAAACTTGTTGAAGAGAACAATATCAAGACAAGGAATATAAGCATTGTCATGAAGAGACCCCTAGTGAAAACCATCTTTTTAACAACTTAGATGAGATTACTCCTTTTGAATAAATAAAAAAAAGAAGAAGATGAGATTACTCTTTCTTGTTGTTGTTTGAGAAAAAGAAAATGTGAGAGAAAGAGAGAGATGGTTATAAGATGTTTTTGGGAGATGTGATATATATGTTACAGGGATATGTATATATATAGGTCTTGATTTTAGCTAGTTTGTGAATTCAAATGGCAATTGTTTTTCTTTGACTTGGCGTGGAGGGACATTTTTGTGTTTGACTTGGGCTTGGTTTTTAAGTTTGAATCACTTAATTGGTCTGTATTCTATGATCAAACAAACACACGGAAACTTTGAATCCAAACAGAATTACATTGTTTTTAGGAGTCACGAGATTTGAATAGTTTCAAAATTTACGAGTAATTTAATTTTGTATTATCAGCTTTTTTGTTGAACAATAATGTTAGAATAATTATATTTTATTATATTATTTGAATCGTCACTATTGTGTTGTTAATAGTCATAAACAATAGAAGCAATTAAAGTAATATAATGTGAAATATATAGTATAAATTTAAAGTTAGCGAGATTTATAGTTAGACTAATTGTTGTCCATATTAATATACTTGTATCAATACTTTATTGATTAATTTTTCTAGATATATAATATTGTTAAATTGTTTTTGATACATATAATATTATCATCATTATAATATTATTGTGAATTAAAAAAATCAAATAAAAAAATAGGATTGGATTTTGTAGGGGCAAGGGGTAGCCAATGCCCCATCACCCTGCATGAGATTTGGGACCCCTTCCTTTTTGGGTGCTTTGCTGACCTAGTCAGTAGTCTCCCCTTATAGCGTTAGTCAAATGCCTAAGTTAAAAATAATAATTTAATTGCATAATTAAATTAAAATTTCTTAATTTTTAATAATTAATATTTGAAAATTTATTTACATCATTTTTACTTTTAGGTTATAAATAATAATAAAAAAATTATGAAACTATTTATATATTTAACACCATTTTTAGGTGTAGGTATTGTGTAATCATGTTTGCTTAGATAAATCACATATCGTCTAATCTTAATATTACATGTTATTATTAAACCTCAATTAACTATTTCAACATGTGATTTAAATTTTTTTTAAGGAAAATTAAGTCACTCAATCAATGCAATTATGCTATTTAAACTTAAATTTGACTTATAGAAAATTGAGGCTCCAAATTGAGGCCACCAAAACTTATATATCATAGAAAATTACATGATGCCAATAAATTAAGAAATCTTAAAATTCAAGATGCCACAAGTGAGTCTGACATTACACATTAATAAATAGGAATGAGATTCATTGTCTTTTGTGTCTGGTGATATAAAAGACATTGATAAAAATTTGATTTATTTATAATTTTTATAATTACATTAGAAGTACTAGAATTTTAGTGAACAAAATACTTATTATGCTCTGTTAAAAAAAAAGAGTACATATTATACAACAATTTATACAGAAATTAATTATAAAATTGGACATAACTTTTTCACTAGGGATGGCAATGGATAACCTACCCTGTGGGTATCCATGGAGACCCAACCCATATACATGGGTTTTTCCCTTTTTTCTTATCCATTGGGTAGGGTAGGTGATATTCTTTAAATATCCACAGAGGATGGGTTGGGGATGGATACCCAAAAAGAAAGAAAAAAGATTGAAGGTATATTTAGCTAAAACCTTTATATAAAAAAAAAAGAAAAAAAAGAAGGTTGTTAACATTAAATATATTAAAAAAGAAAGAAAAAAGATTGAAGGTATATTTAGCTTTTGTTGTGAATCTTAATTAAAAAAAAATTGTTAACATTAAATATATTTAAAAAGAAAGAAAAAAGATTGAAGGTATATTTAGCTTTTGTTGTGAACCTTAAAAAAAAAGAAAAAAAAAAGTTGTTAACATTAAATATAAAAAATAAAAATAAAAATAAAATAAAAATGGGGATTAAAGTGGGTTGGGGAAAATCCAAACTCATTAAAAAAAGGGAAGGGTGATACCCATGGGGAATGGGAAATGAAAAATAGGAAAAATTTATTATAGGGGAATGGGGATGGAGAATTAATATCCACCCCATTAATCCCCATTGCCATCCCTATTTTTCACATGAGTGCAAGAGCACAAAAAAGTGAGATGCGCCTCATATAAAAAGATTATGTCAAATCTAATAATCATTTTTGTGTTAGCTTTAACCTTTATGCAAGTATGAAAGTTGGTTTGGATTTGATGCATTTTCCAAGTTATGGACACATGCAATCACTTGTGGAGTTAGAAAACGGGGCACTTATTAATTATAATTTTAATTTTTTTTTTCATAATCAACAATAAGAAGATAATAATATTTTTTGAATTAATATTAAGTACAAAAACTTAAATAAATTATTATAAAAGTATTTTACATAAAATTTTACAATATCCTTTGAGTAAAATCGAAAAAAAAATATTGCGTATAACTAGTATATCATGGACTAAAATTTTATAAAATAGTGATATTACACCATTATCGACATATGATATCACAAACTAATAGTAAAGTAACATATAAAGGGTGAACTCTACATGCAAATATAACTAACACTCTAGTAATTATTACATATAAAATATATAGTGAGATTAATTATATTTACATATCAATAATGATGGATATTACCTTTCTATTGAGATTTTTTTCACAACATTCTCATATATAAAAATATAATTTGTTGTAATTATTTTATTTTCAATAAAACAATCACTATTGTTTTCATAAATTTAAAAATGCCCTTGACATTTTATTCTAATATTATTTGTTTAAAATTTTATTTATACACATAAAAACAAAAAAAAAAACCAAAACCAACAGGCACGTGACCCGGCTAGTTACCATGTAGCTCCGCCACTGCATGCAATCACATATGAGATGATAGCAGCATAAGAGCATCCACACTAAAAAATTACACGATGGAATTGTGGCATGTGTTAGTGAGGACACATGGCAAATGAATATTATTAGTAAAAAATGTGATCCATTATATAA